CTGTGGTCCCAACCACTCGGGAGGCTGAGGTGAGAGGATCACTTGAGCCTGGAAGGTCAAGGCTGCAGTGAGCCATGTTCATGCCACTGCACTCCAGCTTGGGCAACAGAGTGAGACCCTGTATAAAAAAAAAAAAAAAAAAAAAAAAAAAAAAAAAGTAGGAACTTAGTGTGTGATAAAAGCATTTAAATCAGGGGAGAAATAAATTTCTGCAAATAGGATCTTTAAACAATTGGTTGCTCATTTAGGGGAGGTCCGAGGAGAGAGGAAAATGTACTCAAACTTTACAGATTTGAAAAGGTGTGTAACTTTTCAAAATATAAACTGATAGAAGTGTCCTGGGTAAACTGAGTCCTTTCCTTACTTTATATCAGTTGCAAAGAAACAACACCCAAATTGGAAAAAAAAAAAAAAAAAAAGGCCAGCTGGATTTATTCTCTGGCCAGAGAAGGAGAAGGAGTGGCCTCTCACTCCAGAAACACCTTCTCCTCCCCAAGCTGTGGGAAGCTGGAGAATTTTAAAGAGTTAGATATGGAGTGGAGAGGTTTAAGTTTATGCAGGGAGGAACTTTAGATGTGCAGGCACAAACCATAAACACGTCTCTTCATAAGATGCGTGTTCAGAAAATGGTAATTTTCTTCTATGGGTAGGGATTTTAGTATTATAATGATACATTAATGATCTAAAGATAAGAAAGAGTCCCTGATTCTGGTTTGCTCTGGTTTCCAGCAGGCCCTACCTTCCTCTGATAATTGATGAAACATTTTGAAGTTCCCGGGCCATCTGGAGTCCTTGTAAACTAGCACACCTAGAGGTAAAGAGACTGAAACTGTTTAAGAAATGCAATAGAGCTTTTGCAGCTATCTACCACTTAGTAAAATAATGAATATTCAGCTGTTTTGCTTTCTCAGCTATTTCTCCAGGACTGCCCCAACAAGAGTCTCCAAAAGTGAGCAAAATCAGTTACACAAAATGGGACATGCAAGTTACCATTATATTTTTGTTGCACACATTTTGCATTAAAGGTAGAAAATGCAAACAAAGATAACTGGACATCCTTTGAAATTACTCAACTGATGATGAAACCTCACTCTCCTCTTCTCTACCTGGCTGGTGTTCCATACTTCCTCCCACAGACTCTGTGAACCTGTCTGTACCAGCGGGGCTTTTCTTCTTCTTTCTTTTTACAAGGCTTTTCTTCTTCTTTTCTTCTTTTTTTCTTTCTTTTTTTTTTTTTTGAGATGGAGTCTCGCTCTGTCACCCAGCCTGGAGTGCAGTGGCACAGTCTCGGCTCACTATAAGCTCTGCCTCCTGGGTTCACGCCATTCTCCTGCCTCAGCCTCCGGAGTAGCTGGGACTATAGGCTCCTGCCACCATGCCTGGCTAATTTTTTTGTATTTTTAGCACAGAGGGGGTTTCACTGTGTTAGCCAGATGGTCTCGATCTCCTGACCTCGTGATCTGCCTGCCTCGGCCTCCCAGAGTGCTGAGATTACAGGCATGAGCCACCGTGCCTGGCCAGGGCTTTTCTTCTCTGTCAGGTGTGCAATGTTCCAGCCATGGTTCACTCTGGTTTCTTTCTTGATAACTGCCATGACTAAAACAACATGTCAAAGCAATATTATTTTCCTCTATATTTCTTCAGGGCTATTTCTCAGTGAATGTGCCTTTTAACTTTCTCTTGCTTCCTTCTCATCACCTAATTCAGAATTATTTATTTATTTATTTATTTAGAGATGGAATTTCATTCTTATTGCCCAGGCTGGAGTGCAATGTCTCAGCTCACCACAACCTCTGCCTCCTGGGTTCAAGTGATTCTCCTGCCTCAGCCTCTTGAGTAACTGGGATTATAGGAATGCGCCACCATGCCTGGTTAATTTCGTATTTTTAGTAGAGACGGGGTTTCTCCATGTTGGTCAGGCTGGTCTCGAACTCCTGACCTCAGGTGATCCGCCTGCCTCGGCCTCCCAAAGTGCTGAGATTACAGGCGTGAGCCACCGTGCCTGGCCCAGAATTCTTAAAATAAGTTAATCAAGAGTCTATTGGCTAGTGATGTCAGAGGGTTAGCAGAAACCTCTGTGCCTTGGTATCTTAAAATGTTTTTCTTTTAGTTATGCTAAACTGGTGCTGCCTAATAGGGTGGCCACTCACCCCATGTGGCTACTTCAATTTAAATTAGTTAAAATGAAATAAAATTTAAAATTGACTTCTTCAGTTGTACAAGCCGTATTTCAATAGCCACATGTAGCTAATGGCTACCATTTTGAACAGCAAAGACATACAGAACTTACCTACCATTGTAGAAAGTTCAACCAGACAGTGCTACAACATCTGTGGGATACAGGAAAAGGTGAGTTTAGTTGCAAGTAAGCAAGTAAAGTAAGGATAGTCCCAATCAGATAGATGGCATCTATTTTGTGTAAAGTCTTGTGCTCATGCCCGTAGTCCGAGCTACTTGGGAGGCGGAGGTGGGAGGATCACTTGAGGCCAGGATTTTGAGACCCGCCTGGACAACATAGCAAAATAAAAATAAAAAATATTTTCTTTTTCTTTTTTCTTTCTTTCTTTCTTTTTTTTTTTTTGAGACAGAGTTTTGCTCTTGTTGCCCAGGCTGGACTGCAGTGGTGTGATCTTGGCTTACTGCAACCTCTGCCTCCCGGGTTCAAGCAATTTTTCTGCCTCAGCTTCCCAAGAAGCTGGGATTATAGGCGTGTGCCAACATGTTCAGCTATTATTGTATTTTTAGTAGAGATGGGGTTTCACCATGTTGGCCAGGCTGGTCTCGAACTCCTGATTTCAAGTGATCCACCCGCCTCGGCCTTCCAAACTGCTGGGATTACAGGCATGAGCCAATGCGCCAGGCCTTTCTTTTTTTTCTTTTTTTTGAGATGGAGTCTTGCTCTGTCACCCAGCCTGGAGTGCAGTGGCATGATCTTGGCTCACTGCAACCTCCACCTCCTGGGTTCAAGCGATTCTTCTACCTTAGCCTCCTTGGTAGCTGGGATTACAGGCATGCACCACTACCCCCCGCTAATTTTTGTATTTTTTTTTAGTAGAGAACGGGGTTTCACCATGTTGGCCAGGTTGGTCTCGAACTATTTTTTTTTTTTTGAGACGGAGTCTAGCTCTGTCTCCTGGGCTGGAGTGCAGTGGCCGGATCTCAGCTCACTGCAAGCTCTGCCTCCTGGGTTTACGCTATTCTCCTGCCTCAGCCTCCCGAGTAGCTGGGACTATAGGTGCCCGCCACCTCGCCCGGCTAGCTTTTTTTTTATTTTTTAGTAGAGACAGGGTTTCACCATGTTAGCCAGGATAGTCTCAATCTCCTGACCTTGTGATCTGCCCGTCTCGGCCTCCCAAAGTGCTGGGATTACAGGCTTGAGCCACCACGCCCGGCCGGTCTCGAACTCTTTGACCTCATGATCCGCCCATCTTGGCCTCGCAAAATGCTGGGATTACAGGTGTGAGCCACTGTGCCTGGCCCAAAAAATATTTTCTGTGTGAAACAGGAGGCAGGGTAGTCCCAGCCACTTGGGAGGCTGAGGTGGGAGGATCACTTTGAACTCAGGAGGTCAAGACTGCAGTAAGCCATGATTGTACCACTTCACCCCAGTCTGGGCAACAGAGCAAGACCCTGACTCAAAAAAGAAGAAAGAAAAAAAAAGAGAGAGAGAGAGAGAGAGAAGGGAGGGAGGGAGGGAGGGAGGAAGGAAGGAGAAAGAGAAAGAAAGAAAAGAAAAAGAAATACGAGGCAGAGTTGCCTGATGAGAGTGAGAGGGAAGGCAGGAGGGTGGGAAGTGGGATGAGTGTTGAGAAGATTCAAAATAGTTGCTATGGTGAATGGGAGAAGAGTGCCAACAGGGAAAACAGGAATTCCCGGGTGGTGGTAAGAATTGGAGACCATGAATTTGTTACTGCCAGCAGTCTAGGTGACTGAGATTATGGAAGCGACCTGGGGCCTTCCCACCAACAGGAACCGCCTTCCACCTCCACACCCAGCAACCCACCAGGACTTGCCAAGTGGTTCACATAGTTTTAAGATATGTCATCATTGGTGTCTACTGTTTGTTATGGTGTCAACATGTGTTACTGGGACTGTAACTAGCCAGGCCCAAGATACAGGAGCAAAAGGCTGATTCTGTTGCTCTGCCCAAAGATCACCCTTTCCTGGGACTTGCATCCCCTGTCAGGCCACAACACAGGGCAGAAAGCTTTTCTTTGTCCCCTGACTCAGTTCAGCCACTGGGAATTACTTGGTTCACTCAACTTAATCTGTATATACCTACCCTACCTTCTTATAAATGCTGGATTTATTTAAACCTCAAGATCTCCCCTCTATTCCTCTCAACCCAAGTTGAATACCCATGCTATCCTTGGGAAATTCAAAAAATATCTGTTTCCTAGTCAAGATAGCTGGCCATTTTACATAACAACCCAGGTCTTCTACAACCCTAAACAAAGGCTGGAGATAGATGAGGAAAACTAAGGCTCTCCTAATGGTGGATGGTAGAGAGATGTCTGAGGTTTCTGGAGGATTGAGGACCTATTGTCTTCTCCACCAATCTAACCAGAAGAAATATAAAAACAGGACGGAAGGAAATTTACATTGATCCAGGACTGGGCTTTTGCTCTAAGTTGCAAATTATGTTATTTAGGGTACTTTTGTCTGAAAGTAGCAGAATGCCTGACTCAAGCTGGCTTAAATATGAAATAATTGATTATTTAATGTCCTAGGATATCCTGGGGGAAGATAAGCTTCAGAGTGGGTTGATTTAGTGGCTTGACAATATCGTCAAGGATCTGGATTCTTTCTGTCTTTCTGTACTGCCACCCTTGTTGTTGGGTTCATCCTCAGAAAGAAAGATAATCAATTATTTTGTCTCTTTCATGGGAAAATTTTTCCCAGAGTCCCCTTCGTCCCACCTCACTCTACCCTCTAGTGCTAGAAGTGAGTCACATGCCTGTTCCTCTCCTGACAAGAGACAGGGAATGACCATGACCCACTTGGACCAACCATCTGGGTTGGAATGGAGATTGGGGAGTCGTTCACAACGTCCATACCTGGGTATAGCAAAGATCATGGAATCTAGGCTGGATGGGAAAGGAATTGGAGGAAGGAGCGTCCTGAGAGGGGGAAAGTGGAAGGGCCAAGGGATTCTGGAGTTCAAAGAACGGCTAAGCTAGAATGATCAAAAGAACAGAGCCTGTGATCAGAGAAATGTGAGACTTTAGAGGAAGATTCGTTCTAGGAGAAACTGAGGTCCAGGACATGGTCCTGGGAGATGGTGACTAAAGCAGAGTGGAGGTGAAGGTCATTGGAATAAGAAGGGACACAAACTGAGGGGCCAGGAGTTTGACCAGGTCCTGGGTCATTAAAGTCACCAATATGGCAGTAGAAACTGGGTGAGAAGGAAAAGCCAGTTGCCAAAGCCCTCTGAGAATAAGGGTTGATTGACTGGTTGATTGATTGATGAGTAGGCATCATCAATGAGAAGGCACAGAAGGTGGTACAGCCAGATGCCAGGAGCCTCAGTGCTTACTTAAGATGGAGGACTATGGATCTAGTAATAGAGGTGTGGAGGACAGAGGACACCATGGGGTTGAGAGGAGGACCACCATCCCCTGGGAAGGGCTTCAAGGACTGTCAGGGAAGAGCCAGGGCTTACTTAGGGCAGGAAGGAGAGGGAACTGTTTGTGCAGAGGTCATGACCTTAAAAATAAAGAGCACGCCCCATTCTTCCTTTACTCCATCTCACAGGCTGGAATGAGAATCTGTGGGTGAGCCACCTTTGATCCAGAATTTGGGAACTCATACTCCCCACCTGCTAGTTGGTAATAGAAGCACGCTTGAAACAATCCTTCCCACGTGTCCATTAATCCCGAGAGCTTGTCAGTCTCAGGGGTATAGCAGACATTCTTAGTTGCCCATTCAAAATTTATT